TTTCCTCAACTTTTCCATATCCATACCAACTCCCTGATCAATTTTCCTCAATAACAGTGTGTACACCATCAAGAGAGAAATATGAGAGGGTGACTTTAGGGGGATGGATCCATATCCACATACTGCACGGACAACTCACGTCCTGCATGGATAACTCACATGCTAATAATAGGAATAACTGGATCCACACGGACAACTCGCGTGCTAATAATCGCAATCCGCCCAGCGTGGTCACACGCTACCAGTCCAGCTCATAACACAGAGGAAACAAACTGCGGGAATACCTATACATGATCAATAATTATCAAGTTTATACTCTTTGACTTGTTTAAATAACATGCTAAAGTGTAGGCATGTGCAATATGTGCTATCACAGCTATAACAGATAGTTTCCATTAACAAATAGCAGTTATCAGGTTCAACCAGAAGATTAACCTCAACGAAATCTCAAATATGGTACAAATAGCTCACAGAGGGGTACAAATAGGAGAAACATCTCAACTTGAAGCTTATCAATCATTTCGAGGCATGTCATAGCCTAAACACTACCCGAGAATGGAAATAGTACCCTTGGTGCATGCATATGGGCTCAACCCCGCACATGTGCGCCACTCATAGCACGTAGCTATCACAAATAATTCAGGCAACTAATGCCTCAACCTACTTTAGATAAGATATTTACCTTAAGCAAGCCAAATTACTCACTTAACATGCCCTTCCAGCGCGTATCAACCTTCGAAAATTTCAAATCTAGTCAAAATAACGTAATACTATCAATAAAAGTTATAGCAATTGATTTCAAATGATAAAGCTAAGATCTTTAACCAAAATTAAAAAGTCAACCCAGGCTCACACTTTGGAATCCGACAAAATTCATAAATTTCAAACACCCATTCCATTACGAGTCCAACCATACCACAATCATCCAATTCCTATCTCAAATCGACCTTCAAACCTCCACTTAACATTTTTCCAAAGTTTCCACAAAATCCCCCATTTCCTCACTTTATTTACTAATAAAATGCTAAAACAAAGATGGAATCATGGAATAATGATGAATCTGAGTCAAAAATACTTACCCCGATCCAAGTCGTGAAAATCCGCTCTGAAATTGTCCAAAATCGAGCTCTCCAACTCAAAGTGTGAAAATAATACTCTGACCCTCGTTTTGGAAATTTAAACATGTTGTCCAGTGATTATACATCGCGATCTCGGAAAATCCTCCGTGATTACGAAGAACAAATATCATCAGTAACAAAAACCTTCAATGCGAACGCGCTTACAAGGTCGCAAACACAGTGATAACTCATCCAAATCTAGGCGATCGCGGACAGCCTCACGCGATCACGAAGAACAACCATTTGAAAATCCCAGGCCTCTCCTACTTTCTTTGCGAGCGCGTCCACACACCCGTGTTCGCGTTTTACAAAAACTTAGAACTCCGTGATCACGTCCACAACCTCGCGAACGCATAGAACAAATGCCCAGCTGCCGAAAATACTCTTCGCGATCGCGTCCCTCTTTTCGCGATCGCGAAAGAGGAAACCAGAAGCCTAGATATCATCAATCCAACTAAGTCTAAAATGAGTCCTAACTTGATCCGAAACACACTCGAGGCCCCCGGGGCCCTATCCAAACATACAAAAAATTCCTAAAACACGATTCGAGCTTCGCCGAAGCCTCAAATCACATCAAACAATATCGAAATCACGAATCGTACCCCAATTCAAGTCTAATGAACTATTGAACTTCCAATTTCTAAAACTAATGCCGAAACATATCAAACCAACTTTGATTGACCTCAAATTTTGCACATAAGTCATTAATGACATAACAGAGCTATTCCAACTTTCGAAACCAAAATTCAAGCCTGATATCAACAAAGTCAACTCTCGGTCAACCTTCTAAACCTTCAACTTTTCAACTTTCGCCAATTCAATCCAAAACGACCTACGGACCTCCGAATCCAAATCTAGACATACGCCTAAGTCCAAAATCACTATATGAAACTATCAGAACCATCAAAACTCTATTCCTGAGTTATTTACACAAAAGTCAACATTCAGTCAACTCTTTCAACTTAAGCTTCCAACCTTGGGACTAAGTGTCCCAATTCACTCCGAAACATCCCCAAAACCAAACCAACCACCCCGGCAAGTCATGTAACCACAAGTGAACATAAAATAAGCAATAAACAGGAGAACGTGGCTACAATACACAAGACGACCAGTCGGGTCGTCACATATACCTTGAAGTCTCCGGAAATAACTGTACGATCACTAGCGTCCGTGACAAGCTTATGTACCTGAATCTGCACAAAAATACGTAGAAACGTACTATGAGTACACCACAACGGTACCTAGTCAGTATCAAACTTAACCTCAGTAGAGTAGTGATGAGGCCAGGTCAAGACACCTATTAGGATAAGAAAAATTGAACAGAGTACAGTATTGTCTAATAATTGAAAAGAGAGGAGATAAATGGCAACATCATAGTACAATAATGAAAGCTAACAGCTGAGTTTAAAGAAGTAAAGACAACAAGAAGTGATCACATGATGAGAACTAAAAGTAATCAAACACAAATAAATACAAGTAAGACAAAGAAGGAAACAACATGAACTGTTCAATCAACAAGCATTTTAACATAGAATTTACAACAAGAATCACAACCGAGGTACCACACCTCATAACCTCATTTCATAAGTTACAATCACAATCTTTTTTATATCACCGCATGAACCTTGCATTTATTTTGAAAATATGTTTTTCAAAATAGCTACATATGTTTAGCCCCTTTATCTCACAGTGTGGCTTCAAGTAATTTTCTTACTAGCAACACGCATATAAATCCCATCTTATCTCACCGCATGCATATCACTCCTATCCTTATACCACCGCATGCATATCAATATCACAACACAATAATCAACTAGGACCATACGTGCCCATATGCCACAACACTTGCCAAAATCAACAATACAAATATTACCACAATGTATATAGCCCATGACACAACCACAATGTGCACAAAAATCTGAATAATAATAAGAATGAGTGAGAATTACTCAACAAGGAATGGTATCTTAATAAGTGATAGATTCAACCTCAATGTGATAATAGTTTCCATAACTTCAACTTCAATAACTAAAAATGAAGGTGTTTCCACAAAATGACAACTTTCAATCCAAGTGTATAACATAAGCTTAACAACGAAAAGATAGTATGAAATAACAATTACGTCTAAATGCATAAGAATAATTCAACAAAAAAGAGGTGCATGACAATAAGAGAGGTAACGACGTCAATTAAGGCATATAAGAGCAAATTTGACGATAAAAGATAGAATATGTATTAACAACGTCAAGTAAATCATGTAAGAGTAATTTAACAATGAAAGATATAACATGATATGACAAATTTCAATTAAAAGCATGAAAGAGCCTAAGAGTCTAAACAGATCAAAATACAACATATAATCCCGTGTACATACTCATCACCTCGTGTACATGGCTTTCACATAAATCAAATAATACAATTAACCCAAATCCTAAGGGGTAGTTCCCCCACATAAAGTTAGACAATATATTTACCTCAACTAGGCCAAATAAACGCTCAAAAATAGTTTTTTTCCCTAAAATCCGCCCTTGCACGACTCAAATCTAATAAAAATGACTTAATAACATCAAACAGTGCAAGGGAAACCAAATACAATTAATAAATCTATGATCTTTACACAGTTTCCCAAAAGTTAACAAAAGTCAATCCCGATCCCGCCCTGTCAAAGACCGGGTCCAAGAGTACATCTCGACTACCCATAACACTACGAGTCCATATACATGTTTTATTTTTAAATCCGAGTCCAAATTGACTCTCAAATCCCAAATTTTTATATTTCAAAACTTAGACAAAATTTTTTCAAAATTCCTCTTTGATTCTCATAAATTTGATGTTAAATCTCATATATAATCACGAAATATAGTTGAAAATAGATTAAAACTACTTACCTAATGATTGTAGATGAAAATTCCCTCTCCAAATCGCCTCCTACCGAGTCTAGGATTCTAAAATGAGAGAAAATGAGATGAAATCCCGACTCCCAACCCTTTTGTTTAGTTGCAGATGGCGCAATTGCGACACTGGGTTCGCAATTGCGAACCCTCGTAATTGCAAAGAAATTCTCGCAAATGCGGCTACTGACTGCCTAAGGGAGAAGTCCCAAATGTGACAATGGATTCGCAATTGTGAACCCTGTTCTCTTCGCAAATGCGACTAAATATGTCGCAATTGTGGTCCTACCCAGACTAGCCTATAATCGCAATTGTGATACCTGACCCTCACTTGTTCACTTCGCAATTGCGAGGCTGGTGCACGCAATTGCGACATTAGAGACACCAGCACACCAGCAACATAGTTCAGTCCAAAACTATTCCGAAACACATCCAAAACATACCTGAGCCCTCACCAAACATCCATATAAATCAAAAAATATCATACGAACTCGCTCGCATGATAAAACAAAACTAGAATGATATCTAGAACTACGAATTAGACATCAAAACCATTGAATTTCAAAAAAAAGTTCATGAATCTTTAGAATTGCAACCAAACATTTGAATCTAATCAAAACAATTCCAATTGACACTAAATTTTACTGACAAGCTCCAAATAGAAATACAAACCTATTTCAAGTCCCTAAATCAAATTCTGAACCCGATAGCCAAAAAATCAATATACGGTCAAACTTCTAAACCTCAAATTGCCAACTTTCGAAAAAATAAGCCAAATCAACATAGGGATATCCAAATTCGATTCCGGGCATACGCCCAAGTCTAAAATCATGATACGAACCTATCGGAGCCATCAAAATACTATTTTGAGATCGTTTTCATAAAAGTCAAGCATTGGTCAATATTTCTAACTTAGGCTTCAAAAATCAAGAACCAAAGGGTCCAAATCAATCTAAAATATTTTCAGAACAAAACTAACCAATCCCGCAATTCACAAAATCACAAATACATATGTGTAAAGTATCCAAAAGAAAATGAGGCTCACATACACAAAACGACCGATCGGATCGTCACAACAAGTGTCAAACCATCCTAGAAATCTTGAAGTTGCATCAACTGATCCATTCCATTGTGTTGGCATCGTCTCAACATCTCCTTAAAAGCCTCACATGCTTAGAAAATCACTTTCACTTCTTCTCATCGAAATTGTGGATTTTTCTCCAAAATTTCTCTATTTTTACGATAGAGAACTATTTGTCAAGGAATTTTCTTCCATGTCCGGATTGACCGGTCGGTAGAATTCACAACCGGTGCTTAACATAATCTTTCAGTGAAAATGAAAATTTCTTTAAATAGATAGCATCAGTTGATGCCATATTATACTGGAAGGTACTCATGATCTCATCGATGTCCAACAAGTAGTATCTGGATCTTCGTTGAGTTTACCTCGGAAGATGCAATTATTTTGAATGATCTGAAGCAGTCCCTGCTTTATTTCAAAGTTTTTCGCTGCAATGGGTGAAGGTCTCACACTAGATAGTCCTTGGTTGTAAACTGACCCAGCATAGTCTCCCAGTGATCGTCCAGGCCTTGGTCCAGTATTATCAAACTGATCTTCAATCAGTCGTTGGTTCTGATTAAGCCCCCGATTTCCATCTCCATCTATAGTTTCTTCATGCTAAGCCAACATTTTAGAGGATTGACTTATTTTGTTGTCTACCAACTTTGTTTGCGAAGCACCTTGTGTGGCATGGTAGGTAACACGCCGTGATAGGCCACTTTCTTGGCCTTGATCATTTTTCTTTCATTTTTCATGTGTCCACTCGGTCTTTGACCATCCAACTTGATCTCAGGTCAATTCCTTTAACTTTTACTTAAACTTCAAAGTTTTATCGTATCCATTTTAGCTTTAAAAATGTATCTTAGCTTAGAATCAAGATTTACAAAATAAAAATCACGTACTATGTATAAATTCTTCATATTTTAGCTCAACTACAATTAAAGTGTAGTGAATAATAGGTAAAATATAGCTAAAATTCCATAACTCTAGCCTACTATCAGACATTCAAATATATGATATACTCCCTCCATCTTATTTTATATTATTGTTTGTCTGGGCACGAAATTGAAGAAAAAATTTAAAATTATATATGGTCTAAAATTCAACATAAATATTAATTTAATTATAGATCATCTCACTAAAAATAAAATGAGAATTTTATATTAAATTATTTTTAAAATTTAAAATAGTATTTTTAACATAGATTAAAAGAAAAATGTGTCAAACAAGTTGGAACAAAAGTACATGAAATACTGATGAGCTAAGTATTACTTGGCACTGTTAGGTCGTTTTGATGTTTACTGAAGTTAATTTAATAGAGATTGTTCTTAGATAACGCTCGTGTACGTTGCATCTTGCTGTAGGTCAAGAGAAGCTTATCTAACGCTCATGTTCTTAGATAACGCTCATGTACGTTGCATCTCTAAGGAAATTATTTGCACGAAAATTTTCTCTACACGGAATTATTGACGTTTTCTGAGCATGCATTTATATGTTTGCATATCATCCTATCTAATAGAACAAATTTATTCGAAAGAAGAATAGCACTTTAATTAGATTCTTGATAAAATGATTGAACTCGAAAGACTCAATTATATTTTGAAAGTGAATGTTGAATAAAAGGTTAACTCAATAAGGTCTGTAATCACATATCTATCGAGTGTCATTCTCCCTCGCTTATCTCATTATATTTCAGCATTTTTAAGCTTTTTCAATTTGTGTAATTTTATTTCTAAGATTGTTATCCGTGCACTCGTGGTTCACAACCACTCTCAATTGAAGTGTCGATTTTTCCTGAATAGTACTCAACAAGAGTTACTTGAACGTTATTTAATCCAATTCTTGTGGATACTATATTTTCTATACTATATTTGACTAGCGAGCTTTTGTTTTTACACATCAATTTTTATGCTCGTCAAATTTTGGCGCCATTACCGTGGTTTGGCGATCAATAGTGTTCAAAATAGTTTTTAGTGCTAATACAAGAACCGATCTTTATTTGTTTTTCTACTCACATGTTATTTCGTATTTGTAGGTGACAGGCTTGACTTCTCTGGTTTATGATTCGAACTTCATCTAGAGAACCGGTTCCATACGATCTATAGTTAGAGAAACATATGTAACAATTGACAAAAAAAGAAAGTCCACACCGAAATATTCTTGGGGAATTTTCAACCCAAGATAAAATGGCAAACAACGGGGAAGACCAAGTTGACTTGGCTGCAAGAGAAGCAACCCAAAGACTCACAATTGCACGTGCAACAGTAGAAGCAACTCTAAGTGCTGATGAGACTGTCGATGGGGACGGAGATCAAAGAATCAATCTTAATCGAGCTTTGATACAAGATCTTTTAGAATGTTGGACCAAGGCCTGAAAGATCACTAGGAGACTATGCCAGGCCAGTCAACATCGACGACAGTCCAGTGTGATACCCCCACCCATTGATGCAAATAACTTTGAACTCAAGCATGTGGTTATCCAAACTATTTAAAATAACTATATCTTCATAGGTAAACGTAACGAAGATATTAACAACTATCTGATGAAATTTAATGAAATCATGAATACCTTCCATTATAAAGGAGCATTATACGATGAAATTTACCTAAGGGCATTCCCCTTTTGCTAAAGTATGTTGAAAAATATTGGTTACGGAGTCTAGCTTCATGTCTATCCGTACACGAGAAGATATAACATGAAAATTTCTTGACGAGTCCTTATCTAATGCTAAGATGAGGAATATGAGGAAGGAGATTCATAACTTCAACCAAAGTAAGTTAGAAACTGAGTCTGAAACATGAGAAAGGTTCAAGGAGTTGTTGAGACAATGCCCACACAATTGAATGGAATAATGAATACTAGGCCAAGATTTCTGGGATGATTTTACACATGCCTCCAGGAGAATACTAAATAATGTATGTGGAGTCCTCTTATGATCTTATGAAGAAAACTCCAAAGAAGACTATTAACATTGTGAACGAGTTGTCTGAAGATAAATGCAGGAAAATGTAACCTACACACAGGCTGCTACTGGCAGCTCAAGGTTTATCCTTTGATTAAGAAGAAACGCTACTTCTCTACGTTCATTGACATAGGAAGGAGACTATTCTCATATTGTATTATGATGTTCAGAGTATGGATGTTTTCATATGCATACTGCTTGGATGCTTGGTCAGCCCCAGAATTTGATGGTGTTGCTTGGAGATTCACATTTGCCTTGTCCTGTGGAATGCAAAACTTGGCGCATGGTGAGAGCTTTGGAGGTGTTACATTGAGGTTTTTTACTTGGCTTGTGGATTCACTCATCACCATATGTTGGGAGTTGTCTACCTTACCACTTTGTAATAGTTAGGTTTCATAGTGTAGCTAGCTTTAGCTTTACATCCTTTAGTTTTGTTTTGGGACAAATTGTAAACATTGGATTCCAGTTTTGGATTATTATTATATATTAGCCACTAGGGATCTAGCCTAGTAGTATATTTGCTAAAAGAATAGATTAAAACAAGTTAAAGTTGCTTACCTATGAATTTGGGAAGAAATTATTCTCCAAAAATAGCCTCTATGGAGTAGGGTTCAAAATGGTATAAAACGAGCTTCGTCCTGAAATTTTGAACCTTTACCCAACTACAGATGTCGCAATTGCAACCATCGCAAAAGCGAACCACTAATTCGCAAATGAGATCAATGCCTGAGCCTGCCTATTATTGCAATTATGACTATTACCTCGCATATGCGAAGCCCCCAACCATCACAAATGCGGTGAAAGCTTCGCAATTGCAAAACTGCACATGAACTTCCTAGTATTGCAAATGCGACACAGTTGTCGCAAATGCGAAAACCCTTGGTCGCAAATGTGATTGTTGTTTCGCAAAAGCGAAGGTCACAGTCCCCAACCCATATTGCAAATGCGAGCCTAAAATCACAATTGGGAGGCTCGCAATTGCGGGAAGGTCTTCACAAATGCGAGACCTACATGCAACTCAAACCAGCAGTGCATCAGCAGTTCCAAAACCGTTCCCAACCCATCCGAAACTCATCCGAGCCTCTCGGGCTCCAATCCGAATATTCACACAAGTCTAATAACATATACAAACTTGCTCGCTAGCTCAAATCACCAAAATAATATCAAATATCAATAATCGATCTTTAAAACTCAAAATTTTCAACTTCAAAACTCATTTTTCCAACGTTTCCCATAATACACCGAAATGGCCTCGGTTCACCCAAAACCCCAACCAAACATGCCTACATATCCAAAAATATTATACGAACCTATCGGATTTGTCAAAATACCAATCTGAGGTCATTTACCTAGAACGTTGGTCGTGGTCAACTCTGGAAATATTCAAATTCATAAATTATATTTTCATTAAAATTTCACATATAATTTTTCCGAAAAATACGGACTATGCACACATGTAATAAATCATTAAATCAAGCTATAAGAAGTCTTGGAACACAGAAAATGAAGATAGAACTCAAAATATCCTATCGGGTTGTTACACGCTAGAAGACACTACACGGTTGTAGTAGTGCCCACACGATCGCAAAGAATAAACTGCCCCTGCCCCAATCCTCTTACTCGATCGTGAGACAAGCTCCACGATCGCGAAGCACTGTGAACCAACATGCAATTCCATAACATCTCCAGAATAGGAATGTTAACATGCCAATACCATTGAAACTGTCATTACAGTACACATATACACAATAGCAGACCACAGAGCTTTTAGAACCATTGGATACCAGCTTAAGTTCCCATCTGAGGCTTCAGTAATAACTGATAAGTTAGAGAGCTATGAACCAACTGAATACATATCCTGTAGTGAATACATACCCCGTAGACAATGCATAGTTCATGCAATGACCTAAAGCTAGACATGAAGGCATGTTATGCCCTTATATGATGAGATATTTACTGCCTGCTTGCACAAATACTTCCATATACCTTTATAACACCACCAGAATGAGCATGATAACATGCTAATAGCACTGGAAACTACCCTAACAATATACAAAATTCCTCTATAACAAAACAACTAGCAAGAACATGCATTAGGAAAATTAACATACTCATCAATCCGGAGCTCTTCTATTAGCAATCCTAACACTAAGATTAGGAGTCTATGACTTGTTAAGATTAATTAGTCTCCTCCCTGCACTTTGCAGTTCAGAGAAAGAGTAAAACTGGGTTATACCTGCAAAAGAAAATACAAGGTTAGCTAAAACATTTGCCACTATATTGCCCTCCCTTAGTACATGCTGGAATAGCACATTGAAGTGCTCCTTCATCTCCTGTATTCTCCTCACTTCGGCTATAATACACCATGGTGGATTCCATTCTCCTTCAATAATCTTCTTCAATCCTAGTGGATCAGTTTACAATATGAGAGGGTGTAGTTTATGAGCTACACAATATGCTAAGCCTTCTTCAATTGCCTTAGCCTCACCAATAATATTTGTTGTGTCCTCCTGTTGCTTTGCTCGTGCATATATCAATTCACCTTCTTTATCCCTCACACAGAAGCCTATAGAACTAGGCCCTAGATTAACTCTTGAAGCTCCACCAGTATTGCACTGATACCATCCACTATGAGGCAGTTGCCAATTCACCCTTATAGTCATCAACACTGTCTTGTATCCCTCAAAGAACTTGACCATGTTTGGCCAAAGATAAGGAATACCAGGAAGACAATTATACCTTGTCTTTTCTAAGAAGTGTAAGGTCTTGTTGATCTCATGAATCACTCTATTAACAGATACTGAACCACCATTTCTATTTGTGTTTCTCATCTTCCTAAGCTCCCAAGTGACAATAGCTGGCACAACTTGATATAGTGGCTTAGGTTTTAGGCAGTATGCAGCATTCCACCACTCTCTATTAACTTGATTCACCTGCACTAGCTGAAAATTAAGCCCTACAACATTCATAAATATCCTCCAAACTCTAGTAGCAGTATGGACAGACAGGAATAAATGATCAAATGATTCCTCTTGTGGAGCTTGAAAACACCAACACCTATANGCCTCCAAAGAAAGAAATAAATTTTGAAGGGCAAACCTTTAATCCACATCTGCTTGAATTCCTGTTTAATGTTTGCCCTATGTCTCACTAACTGCTATGCACTACTGTTGTGAACTTGCCTGAGGCTATAGGTCTCCGTCAAGGCTTGTCCCAGTAACCTCCAGTGTCTTCAAATTCACCTGCTATATAATATGTTTTGCAATATCCTCAGGAAAAGATTGTTCAACTAGCTGCTCATTCTAGTCATCTCCTCGCCTCAAATCTGCCACTTCTTGTAAGTCCTTATTGATGTGAAAATCATGTGGCACTACATGATATAAAGTTCCTAACCCAGTCCAGTTTTCATGCCATATATTTGTAGTACCACACTTCATCTCACCAAATCTCATGCTCCACCTATTGCCTAGCATTTAACATTTGCCTCCAAATATGAGAACCTTGCCTAAATTGTACCACTGTTGGTATCTCCTTCTTGCAATATTTGTTTCACATAAAGTTTGACCACAATGACTTTGTAGTCCTAAATCTCCACCACAGCTTTGCAAACAGTGCCCTAGATACATCAAACAAGGATATGAAGCCTAACCCTCCTTCCTCATTTGGGAGACAAAGCTTCTTCCATGAGGACTAATGTCTACTCCTCCCTTCTTCCTTATTGCTCCAGAAGAACCTTGAAAATAACTTATGCAAGTGTTCCAATATGTTTTTGGGAGGATCCAGAACTAAGAGTAAGTGAACTGGCATGCATTGAAGCATACTACTGATCAGTGTAACCTTGCCTCCATAAGATAACAACTTTCCTTTCCATGAATGTAGCTTGGACTTTACCTTCTTTACAAGATCATCATAGTTGTCTTTCCTTCTCTTGGTATAGAATATTGGACACCCTAAGTATATGAAAGGGAATGCACCCTTAGAAAAGCCAGTAATATCACCAACTATTTGAATTGCCACATTAGATTGCATATAATAGGAACTCTTTGCCTTGTTGATGAGCTAGCCTGAGAACTTCTCATATCCACACAACACTGCCATGATCTTCTTCAATGAATCAGGATGAGCTGAGGCAAAGAGAATTGTGTCATCAGCATGTGCAAGATAGTTCAGTGGATCAGTCCACTTTGGCATTCCAAAACCCCTAAAAGAATTGTCATCAAACAATTTGTTCAATGATCTATACAACACTTCTGCTGACAATATGAATAATGATGGAGATAATAGATCTCCTTGGTTCACCCCTCTAGTAGACTGAAAAAGCCTGAAGATTGGCCATTCACCAAGATTGAGTACCAGTTATTTGACAACAAATTCAATATCATGATGATAAAATGTTCAACAAATCCCATCTTCCTTAACACATGAAGCAAGTACTTCAAGACACCTTTCATATTCTTTAACCATGTCCAATTTAATCACTACATTGGCAGGCTTTCCCCTTAGCCTAATGTTAGTAACAATCTCCTGAGTG